TTCTTCCCCCCTTTCTTCCCCCCTTTCTTTTCTTCCCCCCTTTCTCTTCCCTGAGTTCTGATTTGTTCTCCAGTCTGGAATACTTTGATTGTCACCGGGGGTAAAATACTAGAGATAGCTTTTTCTCCACACTGTGAGTAAATGCAAAGCTGTATATTCCTGTCCATGTTCATATATGCTACTGCATTTGGAAAGGATGCAGTACATGCTAGGTGAGGAGAGACTTCAGGATATTAATAGTGTGGGCCAAATCACAAGTAAATGTTAATTTTATTTTCTTCCAGCCTTAGAAAAAAAATACATGCTGCAATATGCAAAAGTGCAAAAGTACCATTTCTACATATCACCTTCTAAATCATCAGTGATACCTGCATTGTCAGATAATTTTCCTTTGGAAAAAGTACCTTATGGCTCAGGAAAAAGCCTGGAGTCATTTTCAAAGGAAATGCGGTAGCTGTCTCCTATCTAGATGTCTGTATCTGAATCCCCAGGAATTTACAAAGTGCTGTTAGTCACAAAAATGCTTCTCTCCAATCTCCATTCTGTTATTACTTACCACGTTCTAAATGTACCTGAAACAAAAAAAAAAAACTGGACCACCTTTGAAATTGCAGCCTGGGTCTGTTGACTGGCTCTCTACATTTGCCAAAGGGGAAACATTTCGCTGTTCCTTGTCCTTCCCTCCAGCCAGTAAAAAATTACCTTCCCCCGTTCTGTGAGCCCTGTTGTTCCTCTAATGAGGAGGAAGTGTGAGCCAGTTCAGATCACTTACAGAGGAGGAAACTGTCCAGCACTTGGGAGAGAAAAAGTAGTTTTGCTGGGCTAGTGAAGTGCTCCAGGAAACCTGAACTCTTACTTCATAGTCATGTTTTTGTTGTTAAGAGTTCTGTGAAAAACTACAAATTCATTGTTTTGGTTTAGTATTCCATATGTTCAACTTGCCTGTGACTGGAAAAGGGTGTAGTTAAGTCCGTTGCCTCCACTCCTGATCAGGAAGTTCAGTTTGATCACAGATGCAAATGGGTTCCAGGGGAATCTGTGATTACTTTCCATTCTTTTAACCCTCAGAACTTTCTTATGAACTAACATGGGGTTACAGCATTCTGATATTGCAAATAATTAATTTTAAAGTATTCATAGCATCTTTGCACTGCTTGAAATAATCAGCATTCAGAGTATTCTGTTCTCCTTGGTATATCTTGCTTTAGAGGCTTTGGGGTTGTTTTTTGGGGGTTGGGTATTTTTTTAATCTGTTACTATTTCTTATTTTTTCTGCCAAGGAGTTGTACATTGTTTTTTGTTTTGGGGATTTTTTAAAATTAAAACTAATGCCATCATGCAGCTTGGTTTTTCATGTGTAGTTTCTTTTCTCTCCACAGATGATGTCTATTCATCCTGACCATTGTGTTTCCACTCAGATTTTAGACAGATTGATGGAGCTAACACTAAAAAGCTGTAAGTATTTGAAGGGTGGTAAAGTGGCCACCTAAATGAAGGCATTTCTCCACTCAAGTTGAGAAAAGTATTGCTGAGAAATTAAAAGGTTGTAGTTCTATTCTGCGATTCTGGCATGAATGTGGGCTCTTCACTGAGTGTGTGCAAGCTGAACTCCAGTGTGTGGTCCTGGCATGTACCTGCAAAGCAGTGCATCCAGTACAGAGCCTTTAAAATTCATGTCCGGTATTTCACAAACAGAATTGACCTGAAGAGAAGCCCAAGTTTGCTCTAAAGTTCGCGCTCCTTTCCTTCTTTTACTTTGGAAGATGCAGACACTCACAGCTTAAGGGCTACAAGATGTTTTTCACATTGCCATACCCAGTGTGTAGCACTGCATGGTTTGCTTTCCAGATAAATGACAAAAGTGAAGAGAATCATACACCTGCACAAAAACACTTAGAAGGATCCCTTCAGCTCATACTCTTGTTGGTGCCGTGTGTATTTGCCTTCCTTCATGTGTACTCTTAAATACTTCTTCACTACAAGTTCCTTTATACGTCCCCCATGTCTTCACTCAGATCCATCAAAAGTCACATTCATTTAAGGCTGCCAGTTAACGTTGTTAAAGCGACGTGGTTCTCTTGAAGTATTTGCTCAGGCCTCTCCAAATTGTACCCCATATTTTAATTCTTGTTTAAAATGGGACTGTGAGCTGGTATGAAAGGGAATGTAGCCTCCTTTATTTTGTGCCTTGCTGGCACTAGGCTTGATTCCGAATGAACAGTTCAAGATGATGAATGAACATTCAAAGAATTAAGACTGGGAGAGATCCTTGTTTAGCACTTGTGTTCCAGAAACCTTGCCTGTTTTCAAATCTTACTTAGCTTCCTTCCAGTCCCACTATGGTAACTCCCTCTTACCTTTACTTATACAGAACAGTAATTTATGTATTCTCTTAAAAATAAATATTGCCTCCTTGCTTGTTCTGCTGTTTGTGATGAAAGAGAGCTGTGATGGATGGAAGGTTGGTGGAACTTGAAAGTAATTGAACTGTTATGTAGTCAAGATGTTTCTCTAGTGTAAAATACTGTGTTAGACTTTTTTTACCCTCTCCTCGTTCTGAACATAAGTGTATTGTTCAATATACCAACTCTTCTGAGATGAGAGCTGGTAGAACTGATGCAGATTGCTGAACTTATTTGTTTCCCTTGAAAGGAACTAGTGCTAAGAACTAAATTTAAAACTAATCCATTCCGTGTGTTTTATTTGTAGCTTCCCTCAGTGATGAACACTCTAAACTGTGGATTCCTTCAATAGCAGATATATCAGTTGTTTTTGTCAATATGGGTGTTGAGTTTAGATCTCTCTTTCCATCCCAAGATCTGCAGCCCAGCTTTAACAAGCATGATATTTTGTAAGTGTTTTCCTTTTGATATTTATTGATTATATCCTTTGAAAGCAAATCTTGTGCTTAGAATGTAGAAGAACCTTGGAAGGTTTTTCTTTATTTCCCCTCCCTTCCATCAAGGCATACTTTTCTTTAAGTTCTCAGCTCAGGTCTTAGTAGGAGTAAATAACCCAGAACTTCAAACCTAAGTAAGGATTCAGCAAACCAGAGCAGAGTCCTTTGTCCTGCATCTTTCTAGTGGAGGTTTACAGGAATGTTGCTTAAGTAGCTGAGCAGCATTGTAAGTAATTGGCCACACATTGAGTTAGATGTGTGTGCTCTGTAACTGAGGATTGTTTTGATTTGAAGGCATTTTGAAACGTGCAGGGTTTTTTTTTCTTCAGTTTGATGTAAATAGGCCTTTATGAGCTCTTAAATTGTTCATTTATTGCTCAGATTGTGTCTCTTTTATTAGAAGTCAGGTGCAAGAAGCAGTGAGTCAACAACAGCCAGGAGGAGACCTAGCCTCTGCCAGTCCAGCCTTCTCCAGTCTACTTGAAAACAATTTAATTAATGTGATTAAGGTAAAAAAACCCCAGGTTTTTGTGGGTTGGGTTTCTTTTTTTTGTGTGTGTGTTTTCTTTTGGGAGGGAGGATGGGATTTGCAATCTAGTCCTGAGCATGTTTTGTGAGTAGATGCTGTCCTGAGGTTTCAGCTTCACGTTCAGCAGAGTTTATTGCAGGAAACTTCAGTTTCCTGACTTCTGTTGGCTTCACTTACAGCTGCACAGTTTTGCTGCCTCCCTTTTCCAGCTGTGGCACTTTATCAAACATCTTGGCTCCCTCATATAGAAGAAACTATTCGTTTCTGTGTTCCAGTGGAAATGGGAAGAGGAGTTGATGCTGGCTCATATTTTTTTGTTGCCTCAGTGTGTTAATGCAGCTCTCAGGGTTATGTGGTTGGTCCCTGTGCAGTGCAAGGGGAATGAGGTGGGAGCTCACGGAGGGCAGGTGGAACTGTGACTGACTTTCCTGTGGAAGTGAGCTGTTAGATCCATGCGGTGTGTCCTGTAGGCTGGATGAGTGCTGGTTGCACTTCACAGGCTGGTTCCCTGTGATTAAAGTTGTATGGTGAAAATGCTGACTTTATAACTGATTTCAGTGTTCCTTGTGGAAATATCTGAATCCTCCTGACATCATTTGTTTAGAGATTTTTTAACTATGAAATCTCATAGTTCAAAAAGAGGCACTTGGAGCATTTCCACTAGAGACAGAATATGTATCTCTTGATTAATTTGTGTTCTCCTTTACGCATGCATCCTGTATTGTAAGTATATGTGATAATGCCTGGGTGGGGAAAATCTCCTGATTTATGTTTTCGGTATTACTGGTGTATTTAGAAGATCTGTGCAGTAGAGAAAGATTGCTGTCTGGGGAATATTGCCATTGTTCAGAAAATGAGCCTCCAGCAGGTATAAAAAAAAACTTTGAGTGCTGTTACTAGGAGATGGGGAGACGTTAGTACACAAGAGTAGCAAAAACAATACATTATTTGATGTACTTTTAATGTGAGGGTGGAAAGCTTGAGTTCTCATCATGCTTTAAAATAAGCTAAACCAATTTCAGATGTTAATACTTCATATTTCTTTTAAAGTTTCTAGATTTCTGTACAACAGTAATTCAAGATGGATATACTGATGAAGAAATATGGCTGCTGCTTCTGTTGCTATTTAAAATAAGCTTGGAGAAACAGCTGAAGCGAGTTCCTTTGGTAGATCTTCAGTGCCTTTTTGTAAAGCTTCTGATGAGTATAAAAGATTGGGATACAAAGGTAACTTCATAAATTAATTGTACTGGATTTGTGAAACTGCAACTTCTGTTTTGAAATTTTAATTTTTTTTTCTTGACATGTCAGAAAAATACTGCTTGAAAATGTAATAGAAAAAATTTGATAATAATGTGTATAATAGCAAAAATTTGAAGCTTTGGGTTTGTCTGAGATTTATGAAATGGGTGGGTATACTGAGAGGGTTTTTGTTGCATGACATGCTTGCCTGTCCACTTCTGCAAGAGGACTGTTATATTTATCTTAAGATTGTTTACTAAAATTGCTGTGTGTTTAAAATGGCTCTCTGAAAGAATAAAGAAATTATTGCACTAAGCTGCTAAGATGTCATTAAAAGCAATCTGATCTCAACTACCCTACTTAAAATAGTATTTAGCAGACTTAACTACAGGTGCAAACAGAAATCTCTTTATGGACATCATATGTTAGATCAGTTCCTTTTATCCTTTATGGTATGTTTCTAGGGAGTAGATGTATTCCTTGGCAAATAAAGCAAACAACCATTCTTCAGTATCAGGATGTTTTGTTGTTCTTTTTAAAGATGCCCGGGGTCTGTGTGGCAGTGAGTGAACTTTCTGACCATCACCATAATCTCCTGTGGCTGGTTCAGCTCGTGCCAAGCTGGACAGTGCGTGGACGGTAATGACACTGTAACCTCAGAAATGTGTAGGATCATTAATAGCTGATTTATCTGTATAAGCTCAAAGTCTGATAAATGCAATAGGTATTACATGGCACTTCAAAAAAAGTATTTGTGTCTTCTCTTGTGATACAGATGTATGTGCAGTTCTTGGTGTGCATGTATAGCTTCCTGATCACCTCTGCTGTGAAAAAGGGTTGTTAAATTTTATATGTAGTTTCTAGGCTGTGCATTCCTGGTACCCTGTAGTAAAGAAAGACGTAACTTCCTATTCTGACATCCATCACCTACTCTAATTCTTGTCTGAATTACCAAAAATTAAATTTTCTTTGAGTGAGTCATGTCTACTTCTAAGCATCACTCTGAGTTCTGTATCTTTGAAATTAATAAATTAGAGTGTATCTGAGCAAGGAGAATTAATTGGGTCATCAGTTTCAGGCTTAGAGACAAGTATCTAGCAGTGTGTACTTGTGCAGAAGCTAAGATACTTCTGGTTTACTGGCCTCTTTACTAGTTTAATAGCATCTATATTCAGAAAATCCAATTTAATAGTTGTAGGCAAGTTTATATCTAGGGAAGCCAAGCATAGCCTCATATACTTTGTCGAAACAGTGTGGATTTGAGAAATTCTATGGGAAATAATTTTTTTAAATTGTTTTTCAGGGAACTAAGACGACGTCTTAGCCTAGTGATAATTTCAAAGCTTCTTCATAGAAAGCATATAGAAATACCTGATGACAGTGACAAGCAGGTACTGCATATATGTATTGTGTTTATATAACATGGAAGTTTAGAAAACTTATATTGTATGTTTGTGTTTTGTGTTTTATGTTTTAATATTGTAAGCCTCTTCTCAAGAAACTTGCAAACTTACCAATTAATAATTTTCTCTTTAGATTAGTATTAAAAGTATATTTGCACATGTGTGTAATCTGCATGTTCTGCAGCTTGTAAGTGCAGTATTGTTTGTGCCTGCACATCAATTTTAGACGTTGGAAAGAAGTCTACACTTCTTTGAGTCTTCCTTTTATATTCATGTGGTGACACTCTTTGTTTCATAGGTTTGATTTTTTTATTGAGGTGATGTACAAACACTTTAGTCTGTAAATAGTCAAAAATTACTCAAAGCATAACTTCCTTTTAATTAAGAATCCCTTTTCTGTTCTTGTCTTAATGGACAAATAATGTAGTGGCACTGTTTCCAATTTTCTGTTGCCAGTAAACCAGTCCATTTTGTTAATGTTTGTGTAGATGTCTCTTCTACATCAGTTTGTGGTGTGTATGAAACCTTCTGTGCTACTGAAGAAGATGAGAAACATGAGAGAAGGACTGGAGGAGCAGAATGCCTATGAAGACCACCTTAATGTAGAACTAGAACAGGAGGTATATAGCAAATAGTGCTTTTTTGCATTTGTCTTTTTATGCATCTTCTACACTTTTAAGAATGTTTCTTTTAATTTTTGTTAACTGTGGACAGTTCTGTACATGGAACTGCACGTACGCTACTTTGTTGCTCTACATCTTTAAAATATTATTCATATTCAATTTTGATTATAGTCATGGAGGGAAAGAAGTAGCATGTGATGGAGGAGCCTGTATTGGGCTGTTTTACAAACAGGGAAGTGGTCAGATTTTCTGAGTCACGTGGATTTCTTGAGTCCTGACTTCTGTAATCAGAGGACTGTCTCCTCCCTCCCTTCTGATGTAATCAGTGGAAACTGTTTGGTGCTGAGCCAGACCTTCACCTGCAGGCTTCAGAAAGATATTTATGGATCTTTTATTAATCTTTTCTCATAAACAAGTGTTACAAAGATTTAGTATTCTGTCCATATAAAAATTGAATATTGGTTTGGTTATTTGAATGTTATCATGGAACGTCTTAGCAAGTATTTTGATCTGGATGTAGATGATGGGAAAATAAAGCCAACTGCTGAATTTAATTTCCAGTTATTAAAACCACAGAAATTTTTACGGGTTACTTAGGTTACCTAAAACACTGTAATACCATTTTAAAATGTTTCTAATACATGGATATACTGTTTCAAATTAGTTATTTAGGCAGATGTGTAGACCTACTTATCCATTGGCCTGGCTGTTGGAGGAATCATTCCAGAAAGCAAAGATGGTGCTGTTTCTAGATGTGAAGAGCTATAATGGTGCTTTGACTGCTAAAGTTGTTTTGATTTCTCTCCAGGCATACTACTTAATCTACATCCTCCTTCATCTAGTCAGTGAAGCCAGTTTCTTTGATGTTGTAAATTCTGATCAAAGGGTAAGTAACTTCAGTGGCTAGACCTTTAGATTTTAAAAGACTGTTTTCCATGCACACTTGGTCTGTTTTGGTAAGAGCTATCATGTGATCACCATGGATAATAGCACTGGGGGAAACTTTTGTTCTGACGCAAGGTAAATGCAGAAGAGCTTGTCTGGGCTTACTGCAGAGAAAGAAACCTCTTCTGCATTTCTGTGAATAGAGTTACCTCAAAATATAAGGCTGTGGATGAGCAGGCATTTGTTGTGTTAATCGTTCTCAGAAAGTATCCAGAGATTAACTCAACACAGAAATTCTAAGAAGTCAAATGATCCTAAAGTAGGATTGAAATTTTTCAGTGTAGAAAGAAAACACTTTAAAAATAGCTGGTAAAATGTGTTCAAACACATTACAGTTTTCTGTGCTGGAGTGCAGCCATGCAGCAAGTGAAAGCTAGGACTCTAGCTCTTCTCTGTAGCGATAGTTCCTTTGTGCTGTGTTAAGTAACATCTGTTCAGTAATGCCTTCTGCTTAGCCTTTCAGTAATCCTGTTCAGATTTCTGTGATCACTTGCTGGGAGTTGCAAGGTGTTTGTGTAAACCTTCTGTCCTGTGGAATCACTCTTGGCGTTTAAGAAATCTGTCATGTGAACTGTTTGAGAGAAGTAAAGCAGTAATGTTTGGTTACATTTGGAGGCTTAAGTGTCTCAGTTAACTACTTAGATTTATGGAGAACTTGATGTTTTCAATATTTTTTTTAATGTCTCCATTTCTTAATGAAGAAAGAATCTATTATTCACTGACCCTTTAGCCATCAAGTGGCCAGAGGGATGTGGCTGGATTTTGTGCAGACTAGACTTGTGTAAAATCAATCTATTTCAATTCTGGACCTCCTCCAGTTAGATGGGGTAAACTGTGGCCTTGAGACACCAGCACATGTTTATAAGTAGAATTTCAGCATGTCTCACCTGTTCTGCAGAGCAGAGCCTCTTTGCAGCTGTTCGGTGAGAGATTGAAACCAGGAACTTTATGAAGAAATTAGCAGAATGTGGAAGACCTTGGGAGTCATTATCAGGAGATTATGAAGTGGCAAAACTGCTTTATTAAAGTAATCAAAAATTTAGAGACAAATAACAGTTCAGCACATAAGCCTTGGATATGTTTTACCTGCTCAGCCAATTCCTACAAAAGAAATTACCTGAGTCATCATTACTGAAAAGGTTATTTTTAGCTATTGTGGCTTCAGAACTTTTTTTGCTGATAAAAGATGTGAATGGCACTGCACTGTGTTTGCTACTTTGGGGACAGAAAGGATTTGCAAATTAGCTAAAAAACCTTAAAATTTGTGATGTATAGCTCTGCTATACTTTGAAACTATTTTTTAAAACAATTAGGCCTGGTTTACCAGGTGCACACGAGCAACTGACAGAGGATCTTGTGATCTTATTTTCTTTCTTTTCCCTTTCATTCCTGTATATTTCAGAGAAAAAATCAAACCGAAGCATATAATTTTTAAATTCATATAATATTTGAATAAAACTTCTAGTACTGACATGGAGGATTTAATAGCTGTACACTTTTATCTTTATTTAGCAACACATACTGAAGCTCTCTCGTGCCTTAGATAGGTATGTAAAGGGTGATATTAGGGAAGATGCAAGGCTGTTTTATCGATCTAAGGTAAGACACAAAAGTTGATATATTTTTTTTTTGGTTTGGGTTTGCATGTTTTTTAGTGTTCGTGATGCTTGTTGTTACCTCATCCCAGCCCTGGAAATTCCAGGAGTTCCTCATAGGTTTGGGGTTTTTTTCTGTTTTTTCTGTCTGCACTGTGTCTTTGCATGAAGCTAAATATATGCTCATTTTAATTCACTGTAAACATTCCTTTTGCAAACAACAGGACTCTTAATAGCTGTAAAATGTGAGCTTGTCTTTCTTTTAACCAGGCCTCTCAACTTCTAGGCCCACAGAGCTGCTCTGTTTCTTTCTGTGGCACTCGTTGGTAGCTCATTCTAATTGTAAGAGCAGAGCCTACATGCAGGGCAGGATACAGAGGACTGAAAAAGTAGCCTATCTTGCATGAGTCTCCATCTTTCAAATTAATGAGTTAATTAAAAATGTTATGGCTTTAAGCCAACAGTGTATGTGATGCAGCATCAAGCTTGGACAATTGCCTTTTGTTTGCTTTGTGGCGCGGGGCTTACTAGTGGTAGTCCTAATTTTGTGACCTTCATGCTTTGCCTGCTGTCCCAGCAAACCAAATAAATCAGTTCAGTGATAAAGTCTTCAGCCTCAACTTTGAAAACTCTTGGCTTCTTCAGCTTTAAATCAGGCCTGTGCAGTTGTGTGCTTTCTTACCTCTCCAGAAGATTCTTCTTTTCTTATTCAGCCAGAATTAGTGGAGTGTGGATCCTTTTAACAAGTTAATTACTCTTGCCTTGATTGTTGTGACTCTGCTCACTTTCACTTTTGTTTCTATGTGCCCTTGCACTGGGAGGGGTAAATCTTACTCAGGTTTTCTCCATCGCTTCATTTATGTAATAGGACAGTGACTTCCAGAGGACACCACTGTGCTGGGTTTTAACACAGCATATGAAGCACATCTCAGTGTGAATGGCCTGGATTAAACACCTGCTTGTGATTGGTTATGAAAAAGCACAGTTTACGTATAAGGAATTTATTTTGGAAGCAGCCAAAGCATTGTTGGCTTTTGTGATTGCAGTTCTAGGTACAGTCAGACTTGTGTAACAAACCTCACTTACCCAAAGATGAGATAGTGTTTGGAGGCCAGAGGTTTGCATGCTGATTCCAGACATTTAACATGGGGAGTCATGTGCCTCTAATGTGTTTGTGTGGAGTACATGACTTTGAATTCAGAGTCCCAAATTACAGGACCTGAAGTTAAGGTAGTGATACTTTGTGCCAGTAAAGTTGTTCCCTTCCGGTAAACCTTGGATGTTGGGTTATCTGGGGTTTTATGAGTTTGAGGCTGGTGGGGGAACATAGGGTATGATTTGGGCTTTTTTTAACATAAATGGCTAAGCTAATCAATCTGAATTTGCAGGTAAAAGACTTAGCTGCTAGGATACATACCAAATGGCAGGATGTGATACAAACCACTCGGCTTACTCAGGTACTGTAATGAAACCTTTTTCTCTCTTTCTTCCCACATTGTGGGGTGCATTTAACTCATTTTTTAGCACTTGAAAATAGCATATTCTTTTGAAAGATTTTTTTTTTCTTCATAAGTGGCATGGCTGTGGAATACACTTACATGTATTAGAATAGATTTTAATTAAAATTCTTACTTTGCTGGCTTCAGTAAAACCGAGATGTCATCTTCATCCTTAAAAGTGATACTTTTGTAAATGTGTGTGTAGTTACAGTGACATGCTAGTACTGAGTCAAGTCCTAGGGCCTGTCTCTGATTACAGTTATTAGCAGATGCTCCAAAAAGGACGTTGGGCCAGGAATGCAGTGATGCACTTCCTGCTGTGGTCTGGCAGCGTGTGACTTCAAGACTACTTGAGTCCAAGGTTCTATCCACATATATTTAAGGACTTTTGATAACTCCTCCCCCTTTGAATGTGTAAAAAGTTTCATGCAATGATTAGGCAAAGCCTTTTATGCTTTGTAAAAGTATGTATGCCATGATAAGTCTCTCCAAAATATTTGCCTTCCTGACACCTAGCTGGACTTGGTGAAATAGATGAATAATTTCTAGTGATACCTAGAGTTCAGAGCCATTTCCTCCAGCCTTGGCTTGTAAGGTTTCTGTTGTAATGTGATCAGACCAACAGTTTGAGTCCTGTCTTGAAACATAAAGCTACTTGTCTTGGAAAAGCTTAGCTTTCCAGTAATGAGGGTTTACATAAAATTTAAATTGTGCTTATATGCTTAGTATTGATTGCAGTTAAAAACTGTGTAATCAACCATTTGTCTGTAAAGACTCCCAAAAATGTGCAAAAAACATGTTGTGTGTAGTGTTTGTGATATTTCTTATTATAGAGGAGGAGGGAATCATGGCTGCAGAATCTGCTCAGCAATTGATGGAAGTTGATAATGATGCAGCTCTTTCAGAGTTGGTTTTTCAAAGATATTTGGGGTTGATTCGCATATGGGAAACTGGCAAGTGTGTCAGAATAAAATTCTAGGGGCTTGCAACACAATGTGGTGCTCCCAAGCTAAGCACCTGCCTACTCTACTCATTTTTTCTGACATTGGTTTTCTGACTTGTGTACTGATTTGTTTTTACTCTTTAGGGAAAACTGCATGACTTCTGGGAGCCAGATTCATGAAATCTTTCCTAGTTCAGGGAAAATAACAGAAAAACTCTGAAACCAAGGAAGATGTAGAATGAATGAAGCTTCACCTTGTTTGGAACAGAAGAAATCAGTCACCTGAGTTAGAATTTGAGCTTGATTCAGACAAATACTAGAAACATGAGGATCTAATTTGGTTAACGTTGACTTTTAATACAGATGCTCTACTTCTGAAAAATTAATGTGGGTAAACTGAAAAAAACCATCCATTTCTATAGCCTTCTCAAAATTGGCTACAAATATTTTACCATATTGAAAGCTGAAGGAAGTTTTCTTGTTTTCAGTGTTAATCACAAGACATATTTGAAAACAGTATGTATTCATTTTCTTGCCATCATATACCTGCAAGCATTGTTTTAGGTTGGCTGGGAAAGAACTGCCCTGTGATATGGAATGTGAGTTCAGAAAGAGTGTTAGACCTCCCCTGAGGCGAGGAAGTGGCTCAGAACTGGGCTGAGTCGTGTTAGTCTGCAAAGCAGAATTGGTGTGAACATCCAATGTCCCTTAAAAACACAAAATACAGCAGTTGCACATGAACCAAGTGACTGCACTTGTATTCACTTGAGGATGGATGCAGAACTTAGAGTGGTTGTGTCCAAACAGTTCAAGTGGAGCTTCTTTCCTCTGGTTGTGTTTTATGAAAGAACAAATGACATTTGCTGTAGTGAAGTATTCATTTTAACTTACCTTCCTCATCTTCAGGCATGAATTTATGCAGTGAATGTGACCACACAGAAGTGTTTCTATAAGACTGAGATATAAATGAGATCTTATTACACCACTAGTGTGTCTGACTTTACTTCCTATTAATGGAGAAAATACTAATCCTAAATATCAGCTCAGTGGAGATTTGAGATGAGCATTTGGCTCACCTGTGTAAAAACTGTGAAAGCCATATGATGTCTGAATTCCTTGGTGTGAAGTCCTGCTGCACACACAATATGTCCTCAAAACTTCAGGAGCTTTTATGAAATAATTGAAGCTGTTTGTGAAATAATTAAAGGAAGATATGATTTCCTTTTGTGTTCTGTGTGCAAATGCTGTCATTTAAATCTTACACTGTGGTTTGTTTGTAGGATGGGTGTATATAAGAAGAGAAAGTTAAGGTATTGAGTAGCAGCACTAACTCAGATTCCCTTAGTGAGATTTTTAATAACATCACCATGTGCATTTTATAATACTGTTTCCTTTTAATTCTTGGAGATTACCCTGTCTTATATGATATATTCCCTATGGTAAGAATATAAAATAAGACTAAAAAAACCCTGCCAACCACAAAACCTTCAAATTTATTTATGTATATTTTATATAAAGGAATGGGCATGTCTTATAGGAAATTTAGTGTGAATTTGCAAATATAATACATGTTTTGTCTTTCATTTCAAGTGTTATAGAGTTGTGTCAGTGCCATCTCTTGCTCTAACTTTGGCAGCTTATCTGCCTTCCCTCTCGTAGCAGTTACTTACTCTGTTGAATATATCGTATGTAATTTTATTAACATTTATATTTTTTCTCACTAATGTTGTATAAAGTTTAAAAAATACAGAATGTTTACTGTGTTTAATGTGTATATATTTTCTTACCATGTAAATTTGATGTTGCTGTCCTGTATATTTTGGAGAAGGAAAGGGGAGGGGTTTAGATGAACAGCTTTTGTACTGCAGTTCAAAGCACATTGAAACTGCTGAGGTTTTTTTCCACATAAAATAACAACTTTGATATTTACTTTTATTTAACAGAACAATGAAAAAATAAAACCAGACACGCCTTTCTAATTAAATGTCCCTGGACAAAATGGGCATTCCTCAGCTCTGTTTCACAAAAAGATGGCTGCAGGTCCTATTTCGGTCTTAGGGCACATGTTACAATTCTAGGGTTTACAGCTGATTAGCTTACTATAAATGGAGACAGTCTTGAAATCATTTTCAGCTTGGCCAATCCTGTGTTTCTGTGCTTAATGCCCGTGGATACATTTATACATTCTAGCATTTTCCCTCTCTCTCCCCCTCCTACTTTGTCTGGACTTCTCTTCCATCTGTTTTGTAGCTGAGAAGTAATTCTCTGAAGACTAGACATGGGTTGAATTAGGACACATGAGAATCCTTACAGACATGATCCCAAAGCATCACTAGTGAGTCTTTACAAGGGACTCCTGGCAATGAAATGGCAACGAAATGGCAAAACACAACGGCAGCAGGTTTGCCAACTCATTTGTTAGCCCCTAGCCAGAAGTTACATGCATTGGAAAAGGCTGTTAGCACAATAAAGGTCTTAACTGCTTTGTTTGTCTTACAGATAAGCATTTTGCACTGAGATCTATCTTTTGATACTATGTTGGCTGTACTAAGAGCCATGTTATCTCATTTCATGTGGAAGTAGGTGCACTTTATCAGTAATCACAGAAAACATTAAAGGCTGATTATAAAATAAACATTTGTAGTTCTTTGCCTTTTTTTTATTATTTTCTGACAAGCTTCTCTGTGGCTTAAAATAACCCAAACACTTCTGGTTTTAAAGTTGAAGAAACCTGCCAGTGAAACTATTTGTGCATCTCATATTCTCACTTTTCCCGTTGTGGAACTTGGTAATGGATGGGGATTTCAGAAGTGATTAATGACTTGCAGGTAGGTCTGGCTGAAGGTCAGTAGGACACTTCATTGATGCAGTGGCTGCAGGAACTCTCTGAAATCCCTAAAGCTGATGATTTAGTTGAGGGTGTCTTTGGGAAAAGCAGGTGACTGGTACAAACACCTGAAGTGTGGTGTTATTATCGGTGGAGCATTGGGTTAGATTGCAGTGAGGGCATTTTAGAGGTAGCATTTCCATGGGGAAAAAAGACCATCTTTTAATAGTGAGGGATGGATACTGCAGTGTTAATTTTCTGAGCACAGACAAGCCAGGTCTGTCTCCGTGAAAGGTGCCTGTGCTCAGCACTGTCCAGCAGTCAGTTCTGGGTGCCCGTGGGCCGACACTCCGGCATGTGGGCTGTGAGAGAGGCTTTGCTGTCTCACGGATATTCAAGCAACTACTTCCAGGTGGTTGAGTTTTTCTGCTGACCTTGACCCTAGCAGGAATACTACAGCTACAGTACTAACACTAGTCTTGTATGTTTGTTTTCTTTTCCAGGAGAAATGCATGTATAGCGTAGTATCCCTGACTTTGGGTTTGTATTTTGATTGTTTGTTTGTTTGCCTTCCACTGGCTTCTAATGTCTGTGTGACTTTTTGTCTCACTAGAAAGGGCATATCAGAAATGGTGCTGCTGGAGATGACCCCCCCTAATTTTTCTGGGGTCTGATTCCTTGGGTTTATGAGCTCTTGGAAAACTTCTTGTCCAAGGTTCCCCCGTGGGAAACATCGCACTCTGGCAGAGAGGCAGCTGTTATTACTGACATACTTGTGCTTGTTTCTGCATCTGAAAGAGAGAAAAGGGGTCTCTTGGGACTGGCTGACATGGGGCAGAGAAGAGGCTTGATGAGCTTTTAGGAGCCTAGGCAGCTGCTGAGGGATCCCTTGGAGTTCCAAAGGATCTGCCCAGAGAGGTCAGACAATCATTAGTGGATTTAGCTCATTCCTTGTGGTTTAACTTATCAGAGTGCCCTGTTCAAATTGCTGTTTTCCCATCTTCCCTCCAGGCTGTGAAATACCTTCATGTTTTGCCCTGTGGATGTTTTGCCAGCTTTACTGCTGGGGCCTCTTCTTATCTCATGTTGAAAAGGGCTTTCAGTGCTGGAGAATGGCGTGGGCTGCTGATGGGGAGGATCCTAGAGAAAGTAAATTCCTCGAAGGGCTTCTCCTTGTGAAGATGCTTTTAGTTTTGCCTAACTGATGCTTTTTTCAGCCAGTGCTTCCTCGCCTTTGCAGTCGGGAATTTGAAAGGGAGTGTTTTATCTGGTATCAAAAGCAGGACTGGGTGATGAGAGAAGAAAAACATTTGCATCTTCCCATTGTGTTATTTTGGTCTGGATGGTGAAAACCAGTCCCAATACTTTCAGGCTGCTTTTAAGTGGTGTTTGGTTATGTTGTACTTTTTTGAATGCCTCCTATGTCTTCCTGTGGTGAGCTGCTGCTAATGTTTCACCTCCTTCAGCTTTCCTGACGCCTCCCAGTTCCTTGTAGGGAGCTCATAGGGGAGGGGATGGAAACTCCACTGGAATTGCTCCCTTCCTTGTCATCAAGGCAACGTTGCCACCAGCCTGGAGGGAAACCTAAAGCTTTTCAAGGCAGGTTTGGCCCGTATGGTATGTTAGGGTGGATAAAGGGGCCATTTTCACAAACCCTCCTCCCAGTGCTTCCATTTGCGTTTGCATTTGTGGCTGCAGCTGTCTGAAGCCAAGTGAGTGATGCTCCTTCCCTCTTGCAGAGAGAAGCAGAAAGGGTAAATGGATTTATGCTGCTTTTGTGCTACGGGGCGAGTCCTCCACCCGAGCAGTGAGTGCTGTGAGCTGGGGCTTGGCATGCAGGCTCCATGGCTGTGCCTCTGGGTCTCAGGCTCTCTTCTCTCGAAGCCTGCTTGAAGAAGAGGCAGGAGCAGAGGGTCCCTTTCCTCTCCAGACTGACCAACAGGCTGCAGCTGGAATAAAAACAATAGCTTAAAGCTGCCAGGCACAGCAGTGGGGAGAGGGTGGCTAGGCGTTGTTTCATGCTTTATTGACACTGCTGGCTTTTATAAAGGCAGTGTAAATCATGCAGGGCAGCCACGGGCTCCTCAGACAGCATCGTTCAGGCTCTCAGACATATGGATCTGCTTGCTGGAAACTGAGCCTGTCCCATTTGCCCTAAGCCAGGCTGCGGGGACAGGCCTGCCAGGTGAGGATGCCGAGATGCTGCACTGCATATCAGCTCTCCTCCACATTTGTGGAGCATTGCCTGCCTCCCATGTGTACTAACCCATTTTTTTCCCCCTGTATTTTAGGCTCCAGCATTGTTATGGTAAGCTTTGCACAGCACAACATGTTTTTCTCTCCAGTTGATTTTCTCTTATTAGCCCATTTTTCCTCTTGCCCTCATTCTGTTTTTCCCTGCAGTATGTGAACGCCGTTTGCTGAGAAACTGTGTCAGCCTTCCTCTAATTAAGAGTCTGGCAGGAGCCAGTGCAACAGTAATTTTGGAGATGACGCTTCCAGTTTGGAGCTGACACTAAGCTGAGGTGCTGCGGCAGGGCTTGTGCCGGGGATGCAGGAATGTTCTCCGGCTGAGCAGGGCAGCGGGACAGGGGGACCCACGAGGAGCCCGGTGCAGGAGCAGTGAGTACCCTGTGTACATCTCAGCTGGGGTATTTAAACTGTGTCCTCTTGAAAAGCAGCTTTGGGAATGGTTAAATCCCAGGTTATATCACAGGTTTATCCCTTTGTGAGAGTGTCTGTATGTGTGTGTAAAGGACAGGAATAAATTGCAGTGGCCCTAAGTTGGCTGCATCTCTTGGAAATAGTTGTCATGTTGGAAAGTAAGATGGAGAGCTCGACAATCAAATGGCCTGAAAAAGGGCAAATAAGGAGAAGCTATTCAATGGCACTCTGTAATATGGCTTCAGACTCCGTAGTTCTTTTATTAGCAAGAAAGCTCAAAGCAAACAAAAGGAGACAGGAACTGGGGATCTGCTTGCCTCAGGATGTTGTGGATGCTAAAAGCTTAGAGGTTCAAAGAGCATTTTGTGGCAGAAAAATGCAGCAGGGGTCTATGAAATGAAAGCCGCTCTCCCTGGCTGAGAAGGCTTCAGGCTGCTGATCCCTGGAGGGTGGAGTGTGTGCTGGGGAGATATCCCAGATATCCATCCTGTTCCTGCACCCCCTGCAAGGTGCTAGGACTGTGGTCCAGTGTGGTGTGCTGCCTGTATGCTTTATGTGAACAGCTGAGGGATTTCATGTCAAGCCATCTCATAGTTCCCAAATTGTCTGTCGTGTCCACGGTTGCATCTCTCCTTCCACTCCTGAGACAGAAGTTGCTGTTGAAGGTGGTGCCAGCCCTTGCTCTGAAGGAGGCTAGTGAGGTGTATGGGATCAAATGTGTCGTGGCTGAAGAAAACTCAGCAATATTTTTTGATCTTTCTAATGACCCTGTGAGCGAGACTAGGAAGATGAGTTGTGTGGTTCAGGAGCTCCAGCAGAACACAGCCAACCACATGCCAAAGCTGAGCTCCTTCCTCTCCCCTCCCACCCCATCTATAGGTGTTTGCAGCTGGAGAGGAGCACAAATAAGAGCAGATGAGGCGACTTTTTAAAAAAAATCCTTCCTATGTGGTTGGTACCTTTAGAGCAGAATTCAGCATTTTGCCTCTCTACTTGCTGTGTCAGATTTGCCTCTTGGGGGCAACCTCACCCTGCTCCAGCTGAGACCAAAAGCAGTTTAAACGCTTGGGGGGCGATGACTCACTGCACATCTCTCGCTGCCATTGCGTTATCTGATCATTTTTAGCAGTCGAGGTCATTATTTGCTGAAAGGATTTTAGGATTTAAGGCATCGAGGTTGATTGTTCATGGCTTTTCAGAAATGATGCGATTGGTTCTTGAAGGTCCCTTTCCAGGCTTGGGGTCCTTCAAAGTTTTTTCCTGCCCTGGTGTCCTTCGGAGAGAGGAGGATAGCATGGAAGGACGTGTGTTTTGTGGTTCTGGTTTAATGGACAGAGCATAAATCTGTGTGAGGAAGATTTACAGCGTTCTCCTGGCTCTTTTGCCTGGGATCGCTTGAACTGTCACTAAGCCTGTTAGTGCTGCGGATGTTCTGACCTGTGACAGGGAAGAGAGCAAACTTACCGCTCCAGCTCTGCTTCAGGTCTGTGTTCCTGAGCAGGCGTTTTGTACAAACCTCGTCCACATATAGCCATTTGCATTTATTTAAGGGGTGTTGAGGTATATGATGGAATAAAGGAAGTATTATTCATGCTTCGTGTTGTGGTTCCTAATGGTACTTTATGCGCTGATATGACCTACAAAGCTTGTTGTTTCGTGCCTGCAGTGCTCTGATGTTCTTCCTACCCTGAGGGTCAGAAATGACAAGAATAAACGATCGTGATGAGTGTCTTGCAATTTCCTGCTCTCTTGCCTTGGAAGTGTCCTTGCCAGGGCGCAGCTCAGTGACCTTGCCAGCGCAGGCAGCGGGGGAGGCAGTGCTTTTGTCCGGCTGTGGGAGCGAATGGGGCGGCCTTTGCATGAGACGTGAGGGCAGATCAATTTATCCATACCCGTGTTTCACCTTCTCTCCAAAGCGCAGGGATGCAGCTGGGGCTGGGCACGGGGATTGGCCCAAGTCCAACACACAAGACCCCTCCCGGTGGAAAATACCAGTGGATGAGGCTGGAGCAAGAGGGGTTAACTGTGGACCCCAGAGCACAGGGACTACATGAAAGAGGGGTGCAGGACACTGCAGTGTGTTTCTGCCTGGTGAAGGAGTGAGTCAGTCCTGCTGGGACAGCAGTTCCTGGCTCCAGCCAGCC